ATATTGGCCCAATGCATCAAACAATCTAAATCTCCTTGTAAGTCTGCAGCATCTTTTATACAGTAAGCCACCCCAAAAATCTTAATATCATCTGCAAACTTCAAAATTTTGGTAATCATTCTAAAGTCAATATCAATAATAAAAATCACAAACAGTAGAGGATCCACCAAGGAGCCCTGATCCAATCAGATCTAACTCCATTTATTACTACTCTTCTGCTTTCTACTCTCCAGCCAATTTAATAACATTTCCCCCACACCCACAGATTTAATTTTTGTAACAAGTCTTGAGGCACCTGATCAAACACTTTCTGAAAATCAAGGTAAACCAAATCCACAGTATGTTCTTCATCAACTCTTGCAGTAACATCCTCAAAGAATGTCAGAAGATTTATTAAACAAGACTTTCTTTTAGTAAAACTATGCTGGCTCTTTAACATTATATCAAACTGTTTTAAGTGACTCTGCAATGCATCTTTAATCACACTCTCCAAAACCTTTCCAACTACTGATATAAGACTAACTGGTCTATAACTGCCTGGACAATGTTTATCACCTCCTTTAAATATTGGACTAACATTAGCCAACTTCCAATCTTCCACTACTCAATGACCAATAAAACATATTAGCTTGCAGTTCACAAATAAAATATTGAAGTTCCTTTAAAATTCCACAATAAAAGTTGTCTGGTCCAGGGGATTTATCAATTTTTAGGTTTCCCAACTTTCCTCTCACATATTCTGTCACAGAACAAATATGTAAATTTGTTAAAAACAAATTAATACTTTCCTTCTGGCATACTGTTTTTAAAGTTAAGTAAAGCTTGACTCTTAATAGCTGGTCTTATTAACTGCATTTGCGTATATATACATTCATTTCATTAAGTTGACTTTAAATTCAACCATCTGTTCTCTAACATAAGAGTAATCGTCTCATTTGGAACATCAATTTGTGGAATATGAAAAGCTGTATTATTATTTCAATTGTAATGCAGTACTTTCGTTTTTCTTTTCTTCAATTATTCATACATAATCAATTATATGCACACAGCACATTTTTCATGTCAGCTAGACACCAGAACACCTACCTTCAAACTTTACCCTGAAAGACAAAAGCTCACGAAGGTTATTGCAACTTGCACACTTACAAGCAATTAATTGGTGATCATTTAAAACTAGTTAAGACCATTCCATGTTTGTACATTTTCATGCATCCAGAGAGTTCACCATTATTTTGATATGACAATTAAATATAGATATTATCAGACTTACTTATTTTTCTAGGTTGAAAAATGGCATTTTTTCAGTCTTGTTATATAAAATGTATATATTATAAAGTATCTGTAACTTAGAAAAGAATATTACTTGAGTACTCTATGCATGACTGTCCATGGTCACATACCCAACACATAAATCCTAAGAACTTAAAGTACAGAATACATTATAATATGTCAAACTGCATCCAGTTACCAGAAGGCCTTTTGCTCAATAACAGGGCTTGTCAGACCAGCTAGAATACAACAGACATATTAGTTGTCTAGGTGATATATCATTAGATTTTATGAACAATGACTGTTATGATGTAAGCTAGATTAAGTAAGTGAATTGTAATTATCATCAATTTCATTTAAGTCATTTACAAGTCTGATTTTTAGAGTAAGAATTAATAACACAATATTACTTATTTCATTTTTAACATTGATTATTTATCTATTTATTATTTTTTTATTTGAATTAACTTTACTATCATTCAGAAAAACTGGGAAACCAGCCATTTGTTGTCATCCTTGTTGTCATAGACTTTTGTGACATTTTATATAAATTTTTGAACTGTGTGCATTTAATCAAACTGGATTTCTTTGTTACTGATTATTTGTATTATTCATATAACTACTATATATTGTATACACAATATGCATTATATATTATTACTTAGGTGTTAAACTTATTTAAAAAACTGTGTTCAGCCTTCTTTTTGAATTTAATTACAGACATGCAGATGGAGCTGAAACATTGCAATGACATGCACATGTAATTTCTGGCTAGATATGTCATCAAAATTTGAATGTTTATAATAAATCTGAAACAAAGGTGACACTTCACTTTGAAATCTAATATGTATTATGCTCCTCATTTAAAACAAATAAAACTAGGCTGACCTCACAAACACTCTCTGTCTACCTTTTGTTAAGCACAAAACAACACAATGGATTACCTGTGCTGAGCCCACTATGGGTATCAAAACCTGGTTTTTAGCATTATGAGCCTTCAGACTTATTGCTGAGCCATTTGAAATTTTTACTGATGTTCTACCCTTAAGTCCTCAAAATGCTTAATCTTAGTAACTCCAAATTTCATTGCATTGTTACAAGATATAATGTTACACTAGATTGAGTAGTTTTTATTATAAATTCTATTCATTATTTAGATGTTGCAGCATGCTTTATGGAGGAGGTTGTGAACCACCCATTAAAATGCCTCTTGTTCCAAACTATTATCCCACAAAGTTTGGTTGAGATTGGCCCAGTGAACAAGGAATAGCTAGACAACAGGCAGACACACAAATGTTTGTGCTTTATATATATATAGATTATTAGATCATTGAGGGTGGAAGTACTCTGAATTTTTATGCAAAGTACAGTTGAAATTTCACATATATATTGTTATATATGTACTTAGTGTTTATAATAATATGCATTTTTCATATTCATTTTTTGTTTATTTCTAAAAATCAGGTTTCCAAAACACTTATCTGCCACTACTGTCATAGTAAACCACTATGGTATCTAAACATTAAAATTGTATAGGAATGCTGAAAAAGCATATACAAAACTTCAAACGAATTTATTAAGCATTGCATTTCTGAAAGAATGCAAAGATTTTGATTTATGTCCTAAATTTTTACATTTTAAAGTTTCCAACATCAACCTAAGGTTCAAGAAGCAATACCATATTGTCTAGAAAAAATTTTTAAACAAAGAATTCCCAAAAAAACAAACAAATTACTTGAGTAATTTGTTTTCAGACTCTCAGAGTTAAAACAACACATTAGTTACTCAGATTACATATATTTAAAACAAACCACTGAGACTCAAACCATGGAACATTTAGAAACGTGCCATCAATCTCCTTCATGCTGTACCATAGCACATTTGAAAAATGCCATCAATATCCTTGGTGCTGTAAAATTACACAAGCTAAAAAGAGAAGTGTTCACTGAGAAAGGATCTGAAGTCATACATAACCTATCTAATCATGTTTTAACAGACCTGAGAAAAGGGTTTTATCATGTAGTTCAAACTTCTCTATCACTTCTGATAAAATAAAATACACCAACTTTTGTAAATTGTGAAAAATTACTGACTAATGTGAAACCTTTAGCTATATGGACTGAAAATGGATACACTTTTGACAATATTGTCACAGGAATAGCTTTATCTGGTTTCTACACTTATCAACTTAAAAAATATAACCATAATCTGTCAAATGACGAAGCAGCAGCCTTGAATACTTTAAAAAGTTTAGATAATTTAGTGCTCTTAAATCTGGACAAAGGGAATGGAGTTGTCATTCTCAATAAACAAGACTACCTTGATAAATTCTATGCCATCTTAAATGATTCCGGTAACTTTAAAGTGTTGGATAAAAATACCACCAAAATAGCGAGAAAACTTCAAAGACTCCTATTAGAACTAAAGAAAATGTTATTATTGATCAAGTATACAATCAGATTAGACTTGTGGGATCATACAGTGATATTCTATATAGTCTGCCTAGGTGTACCCAGACCTACTGTATCTAACATAAGAACACACAGTTATAAATTAGCTAGTTTCTTAAGTAAGTTGTTACTTCCATTTACAAAGAATGACTTTACCACCAAAGATTCTTTTGATTTCTCTGATTTTGTCAAATAATTGAAACTTGATCAATCTGTATAAATCACCAGTTTGGATACTGAGTCCTGCTTGATAAAGTAATCAAGTTAAGGAGATATATTATTTCCTGACGACACTAAAATCAACGGCTTAACTAAAAATCAATTCATGAAACTACCTCAAATTCCAACCACAGAATCTCATTTAGTGTATTTAATAATAAGACATATGACCAAATTGACAGTGGGCCATGGGCTCACTACTTGCTCTTATATTAGCTAATTTATTGTTGTCTTATCACAAAACTAATTACAATCCTGTTGGTCCAAATTTAAGCCTTTAGTTTACAAGAGATACACTGATGACACTTTTATTGTATTCAGAGATCAGAGCCACGTCAAAAAGTTAAGATTATTTAAATTCTAAACACAGGAATATCAAGTTTATAGTTGAAGAACAGAAGAATCTAAATTGCCTTTTTCAGATCTAGAGGTCAACAACCTGAACAACAATTTTGAAACCAGACACTACCACAAACCAACATTTTCTAGTCTGTACTCTCATACCAGATTGTTACAAAATTAATTTATTAAACGTTCTAATTCATAGGGCATATTAAACTTAATAGCCCTTATCGTAATTTTCATAATGAAGTAATCAAAATTAAAAAATACTTGATTAAAAATGGCTTCCCTCTAGCATTCATCAACAAAAGTATTTTTGAACATATTAATAAAGTTTACGATCCTAAGATTCCAGACTTCAACGTTCCCAAATGTTCTGTTACCTTGGTGTTACTCTGCACTTGTTCTCACGGCATCAAACAAAAAAGAAAAATCAAGAACATTCTGTAATCAACTTATACCAAAGATACACTAAGAGTGATCTTTAAGCAAAACAAATGAATATGCAATTTTTTCCCCTTTAAAGACAAAATATCTCCTTTAAAAAGATTGCTGGTGGTGTTTCAATACACATGTCCATGCTGTAGGCATGGCTATATTGGATCAACGACATGAACCGTAGCTACCAGAGTCAAGGAACATGCACAAAACAGCCTTTCAAAGAGCTTTGGAATTTACAATTATCTAAACAAAGACTGCAGTGAGAACCCAACATTGAAAACTTCAAAGCAATAAAGTCAGTGATAGATGAATGGACATTAAGGAAAAAAGAAATGCTCCTAAAACTGAAGCTGAACAACCAGCTAACAACATCACTGCATCTCAAACTGTGATAAACTTATCATTCCTGAGATCGGCCAAGAGTGAAAACTTCAAATAATTAGATGGGGATAACTATCTCAAATGATCTAACCTATCAACAGCAAATTAGATAATTATCATCAGATAAATTACCATAGAGTGACTGTCTGTTTATATTAAAATATACCAATAACTGATACAGCTAAAAAAGCATGGGTATGTATTTGTGTGCATATTCCAAGAAAAAATTGGAGAGCATACTTTTCCAGGTTTTGGGATGATTTCTTGATTTTTCTCTTGACTTTTTTTTAACCTATTTTTTAAAATTACACGACTCTTCTTGGTTTGTGGCTTCCTACTACTAAATATTTAAGCCGACAGAATGAGAAAGTTTGTTGTGTCAGCTTTGACACAACAACTTTTTTTGCACTGTTCTCTTAGTTAGCCAAAAGCCAATTTCAACTAGAAGATTATGGAAATAGTGTATCATATCTTGCTTTCGCTACTAAAAATTGTTTAGGTCTTTTTCAAGAATACATAGGTTAATTTACTAGTCTACTAATATAACTTAAATGTAAAATTAAACACCAGCTTTATCTATAGCTACTTACCAGAATTGGCTTCACGGGTAGTTCTTGTTCAGCAACCTCCACACCTTCTAATATCTGTAAGATTCTGAAAGCAGCTTGGCGCTTAGCTAATCGTTTAGATTTTCCTATACCTATAACAAAAATTATACTCATGAAGTACCATTTGGAATTATGACCTTGCTTATGAAGTATCAAGTAAATAATCAAAAACTGCAAAATTTCAAGCACACAAAAAACAATTCACTATTATCAGTTTATAATATGATAATTCTTTCAATCCTTCTAAGATCATTTATTTGGCACAAAGAGATAGTATTAACTATTTCTGATTTAATAATGGCAATGTCCATCCAAGTGTAAACTTTGGTTGGCAGTAAGAGAAAAACAACTGGAGAAAAACACTTCCTAGAATTGGAAATTCTTATTATGTACTTTCTTTTGATGTTGTTTAGATAAATAATTAGAAAATATTCAGAAAATACATTAATAATAATCCTTTAGTATGCATATACTATAACTGAAATCTCAATTTCAGCATCAGAATGAAGTTAACATACTGTAGGTGATACTAGATTAGCAGACCCTCACTATTTCACCCATTTTTGTGGGAATAACAAGCTGATCAATGGTTGAAGATCACATTTTTATGTCATCATAATGTGTACATAATACAGGTAATAGAGTAACAGTTTAGAATTTAAAAAATGCAAGCAAAGTTTTGAAACCATCCTGACCAGTGAATAAGAAGAAAAAATTTACCTGTCCAGCACATTTCAGTCAAATGACAACAAAATGATGAAATTTTAGGTTTGATCAGTCTGTTTGTTTGTAGTTAAGCACAAATCTACATAAAGTCCAGCCCCATTTATCTGGTCAGCTGTGGGTCTAAGCAATTAATGGCTGCATAGCGGGGGTGGTCGTATTACCGGGTGTCACTGTATGGGATCAATTCTGGGATTAAACTGAGGTCACAGTACATACCCCAACAACACATCTTTCTATGTTCCTGTTTGATACAGAATGTTGTACTCACATTTGGCTGAGAAAACAGAGCTCTATTTATTGCAAAATGGAGGGAAAGGTGATAAAACTTGAAATGAATGAGCAAATGTTCCCCTTTGAACAAATCTTTTGTTCACAAATGACAAAGTTTAAAAGAGTGTGAAAACATACTGTTTGTTTGGTCGTGTATGTGTGATCATTAGTGTAGCATGAGATGTGAAGCATCAGGTAGGATTAGCATGCCATTAATAGGGAACATCAATGGTTACCTGGTTTATAACACCTACAAGACATGGCTGCTATCAGTCAATGTACGGTAGTGGCCTCACTTTGATTAACAGGTCTCAATTGGGCAGCAGCAGGTGAGAGCCGGCCTTGGTCACAAAACTGAGTTCAAAGAGACCACTTGGGAGTGGGAAACAGGTGACCACAAGCCAAGTTGACTGCAATACGAGTGCCCATAATAATGGATGTTTTACAAATATAAAATAAAAGGAAATATTTGTGACTGAGCCAAAATGGCTGTAATTAAGGGTTGACTGCTATATCGTGTTGACCAGTATGGGGGTCTGGACTGTAACAGGCGATCTGTGCTGTTCCCACCATGAGTATTTAAACTTCCTTTATAGTGTTACAAGTCTGCAGACTTACTACTGTGCCAATGGGGGGCAGTTGATGAGTCTGATTTACTACCTATGTCATCAGAAAGATGTAATACCAGTGCAGATCTAGCAATACCTATAAGATGTTCTACCATTTTTTTGAAATAAATATGACACATTAATATCTTAGTATGTAACTTCTTACACATGAAATCAATGCTTGTGATACCTACTTTAAATTTTATAATGCCTCTTTCACAATTTATCATTTTAGAGTGTTGCAGTTCCAAAACAAAAGTTCAGTAAAAATAAAGGTAAAAGACAAACTTTACAACTCAGTGTTGGACAATCATGTGAGATATGGTATGCATTTTGTAAATAAAAGCGTTAAAGTTCAAGTTATGAATTTGACTATTTATATATACTTGTGATGGGATAAAAAAAAAGAAGAGTGAATCAAGATATACACATCTATTATAATTTTAATTTAGTCACTACGTGTAAAGTTTATTGTATTGTTTAGACAAGTTCAGCAGGACTGTTTTCTTATACACTATAACCAAATTTTAGATTTTAGTCCAACCTTTTAAATAAGTGTTTTATTTAATCAACATCTATTTGTTAACTTCAGAGGATATAAAAAACAATTATGTAAATTTTTAATATGTATCATACAGGCAATATTTCAATTGCTTGGATACTCGAAAACAGTAATAACTGAAAACACTAATTACCATTAGTTTATTTTTGTGATACAAATCAATGTAATCAAAGCTCATAGTTAATTGATTATATCAATTAATTTCTCAAACTGACATGAAGCTGTAAAATATACTCTTACATATAAGAACAGAATAATACTGAAAAATAAAAGAAGCTCTATTGTTTTTGCATTGAAGTTCCTATTAATCAACATGCTGTTGTTACCCCTATACTTACATCACTTGAACATCACGTCACTTTTACTAATAAATTATTCGCAGCATAGAGGCTCAAAGAATGGCTCAGAGTTTTTTTTCAAGGACAAATTTTTAGTTCACAGCTCCTTCATGTCTTGACCGATTTGAGATTAATTACAGATATGGACTCAGGAGGTCAAACCCTTTTGACTGATGTATTTGATCATGCCCAAGATCTCATAGATTAATTTACTCTCATCCTCACTGAAAGAATTTCAATTTGGGGTAGACTGGTAGAGATCGTGATGAGTAATAAAATCAAATCGGGTATATATACACACACACCCCACATTTGGTATTGCTGGTGCACTAAAATATAGGTAATAAAAAGGAAAAAGAGGTCTCACAGATTAATTTACTCTAATTCTGCCTAAAAGAATTTCAAGTGCAGTGGCTATGGAGGATTCCCTCTTGTATTTATAGTATTTCTGACAATACTGGCATCAACATCAATGAAACATTGAACACTGTGTTAGTGCTTGTTTTTAATCACATCTCATTTTAGCTGTTTTGATTTTACTACTAACTTTATATTGGGATACCTCCATATTTTATGAACAGAACATTTGGAGTGTAAAAGAAGGCTCCTTAGAGAATCTTAAGTTTCATGAACTGCCTTACTACTTCTTTATTTTCCAGAAACTGTGCTAAAATTACCTATTTCTTTTATTTCCTTATCTTCTGTAACATTTTGATCTCGTACTTTCACCTGGCATTGGACTCCAAAGGTTCGTTCATGAGGGAGTCCTTCTTCCTGGACAGTTTCATATAAAGGAGGTTCCCAGTGTCTTTTCATACAGAGTTCCTGCAGTGTTCCAACAGGATTTCCAGTTATTCCATCACTACTTGGAGATACAGCCTTTTCACAATTCCTAGAGAAAACCATGGAGTTTAAGTATGAATACAAAAAAAGTCATTATAACACATGTACTAACATGAAAAAATTATGTGATAGCTACAACAAATGAGAATAAGGTGTAAAGAAAAAAAAGTTTCTAATAAAATGTGGTTGTTAACTGATGAAATATAAAATTATCTATCTGTATATCTCAGAGTGCAACCACTTAGTTCTAACATTATCAAACATCCATTACGTTCCCAGGCTACCAAGCAGACTTTTGTCATTCAAAGTTGCAAATTTTAGGTCTTGAAATATACCTACCTCTGGGTATTCTGGTTTTTAGTATTCCAGAGGTAAGTCCACCCGATTTAATTTATATATTTTTTAGAAATAAAAAAATTAAAAGTGAACTTCCCTTCCACAACCAGATTTTCATCAATGAGTGCAACCTTCAAACAAATCTCTACCTTATGGTTATAAAACAGATCTTACATATGATCCACTGATGCATATGCAATAAGTCATGTGGAAGGTGGAGTATTATGGATAAGTAATGTGTATGATATACAGATTTGTAAAGAACATTCAAAAATTGAGTGACATTGTGTTTGATATTGACAGCATGAGTTCATACTCAACAATAAAAGACTTTCAGTATTTCAGAGGGAAGTACCTGTTTGAAATTCATTTTAATTCTAAAAATGTAAAATTTTACTATACTATTTAGATTTGTTATCCAATTCTAATGAAATTCACTTACAATATTCTTCAGAATGTGAGGGTAATATTGATGTATAATATTGCCCAAGAATTGTCTTTGGAGGAGCAGGATCATAATGGATTTAAAACTTGACCACAAAGTTAACACTGCATATTTTCTCTGGCAAGACATACATAGCATCCATGCCTTATTATCAAGATTTTGACCAAACTTTTCCCATACAATGATAACAAGGATGGTCCAATCAGAACATAAACCTAGATGAACTCCAAAGATGCTGTAGAATTAATTATTTAAATAAAAAAGAAAGGTTTTGTGATTATTTTTTGACATTTACAAACTTATTTGATTAATACATCAGATGAAACAAGTAAGAATTATTTCATTGTACTCTTCATCATCATACAGGTAATTTTATATTAGCCGTTGGCCATATTAACTCAAAGTTACCAATATTCTACTCAGAATTTATGGTAGTAATGTGTGGTTTGAATAGACCTGTCATGGGAATAGTATTTGAATTTGGATTGACCAATAGGTGTAAAATAAGAAAGTCAGCCACCATATAGAAACTGTAATTGGTAGAAATGATCACGTGAACCACACTGATTAACCTTAATTAAACATTGGTCACTTATGTTGTGAACTCACTCACTTAGAAACACCAGCAACCAATAATAATTATCCAGATTGATGATTTACTGCACTCTTACATCAAAATTCATTAATACAGCATGCTTTATGAAACCTCAAAGATGATACATGACATTTTGATCCAAATAATACTTGATAATTCAGCAGTTTGATGATCTGAAAAGTACTTAATAGTCTGAGGATTTAAAGCAGATTCATATCTAAATTATATTTGACAGCTTAGAGAGTATTATACCATTTAATTGCTTTGAAAATGATAGTCAGCAGATTCCATATCTGAAAGATATTTGACAATTTGTTCACTTAAAGGATAACTTGTGATAAAGGAGGTTGGAACCAAATGAACTACAACTATAAGGCAGGAATTTAAGATATCTAGACTTTAAATAAATGGAGCTAAGAAAAGAAGAACTAGTAATTAGAACAACAAAAAAATTCTTAGATCTGGAGTCCAGGAAGAAGATATAAAGCAGACAAGGCTTACATAAAAGTTGACTAAAAGGACACTCAAAAGAAGGTACTTCTTCACCTATGGCACCCTTTCTTATTTTGGTACAAGGATCAATTTGGTGAGCAGTACTAGTGCATAGCCAACAATGGGATATTGGCGGTGGTATAAACAGGTTTGAAAAGTTAACATTTTCTTAAATCGAAAATGTATTTTTAATAATACTTACATCCTATCACACTACAGCTATTACTCAACTGCCAGAGTTTCTTCCTTTGCACATCTAAACATTTGTCTGATTTTTCTTGTTTGCTCCAGTCTTTTATACCCAAAGTCAACATGCTTTCTATCCTGGTACTGTATATAAGCACTTCATTCAGATAAAGTTATCACTTTTTCGAGACTGACTCAATCTACAGTCTCTAACACTGACTCTTAGTGGGGAGGAACGATGCAAGTATTACTGAAGTATTACATTTTTGATTTAAGAAAATGTTAACTTCCAAAATATACTTAGCTCCTCTCACACTATAGCTAGAATCCCACACTAAGAAGGTGGAGTGGCTGGTGAGGGCATTTTCCATACAGAAAGCATCTACATAAATGATGGGTGTGTCAATAGAAGATTGGCACCCGAGTGAGGGAACCACACTACATCCAGAACAGGTATGCTCTTCACCTGGAACTTAATTCATGTAGTGTGAGTGGAACTTTACATGATTTATCATCACTACTGGACAGGCCCCAACCAGATAGCTGAGGTTCCACTGTTCAGGATTGGAATTATAATGCTGGTGGCTAGGACAATTGAACTGCAAGAGTGGATCCCAACCTGTAGCCATAGTGATGCATTCTGAGCCGCTGGAATCACAAGAAATGGACAAGCCTTCTCTTCCACCTGAAGAAGTTCGAAAGGCAACACCTCAAACTCGGAATGATGGGATCTTGTATGCTTTAATCAACCTGAGGAAACAGAACTCATCTGGTCTGGAATTATGAACACTCATCTTTACTCCCCAACCATGTGGGCAAGGTAAATTCCATTTGTCCCCAAAATTATGGGGAAGACATGGAACAAACTGTGCTCAAACAAGGACCCAGGATGAGATAACTCTGCTTTCAGAATTATGAGACAATGGACCCTCTTCCATGAACAATGTACTGAACCAATATTGATCAAAAAGAAGAACCATGCACAATCCAACTGGACAGCTGAGCATCAAATCTGAACCAGTATTATGAGTAGGCTGATGCCTCTCCTACCAACATCTGGGATAAAACATCCAGAAATCCAGATAGAAGGGCACCCAACTTTGCCATCTTTTCCAAGAGTGGAGTAAATTCACTCTAACACTCTGGTAGAAAAGCCTCTATCCATCACTCCAATCACTGAAAACTGGGTGTGGTAAGAACTCCCTAGCTCCACTAGTAGATTCTAGAGAGTAGTGCTCATCAGGGAGCCCTGAGGAACAGTGCAATAAGTGAACCAAGTTCTCCAAATTTTTAAAAGCAAACCAACCCCAATTTATTCAATCAGCTGATCGGCAGGATCCCCTTATCCTTTACTCATGATAGTCCATGAGTGGCAGTCCAGCATAGTACAGTAATACCTCCTGGTGAGCCTCTAGGTGTTCTTATGGAACACCTCATTTCTACAGAGCCTGTTGCAACCTATATAAAGTACATTGAATTAGTGATTGCTAGTGGAGAATTGGTTTGATAAAAGAACATCCTTCTGGACAAAACTCGCCACAGAGTAGAATCTGTGAAAATGAGGTAAGGGACACTGAAAGGTAAAAAAAAAAACAAGCACAACAATGAAAATACTCACCCCTCTGTATAATCTAGTAAAAGCAGTTAAGATAGCTATAGAAGGTAGTCAAACACCCCCAGATGAAGATACTGCCAGATCCTGCAAATAATGCAAGATAAAAGTATTGGGGGGAGGTCACATACTAGCCTGCACAATGTCCTCCAATTGACAATTCAATCAGGTCACTAAGGACATTGAAATGTGACAAATCTGATCAAACGTGACTAGCAGAAGATTCCTCGCCTTCAAAGAGAGCCCAAAATAAAAGATATGGATCAATTTCATACCCATTTCATCAATGCAACCAGGGATAAATGATCTCAATGAATAAAAAGTCATTGTCTAACATTTCTAAAGGTATTAGTGCAGGCAACGATACCTTCAAGACCCTCACTGGACATAACAATGATTGAAATCTGATTGGTCAAAGAAGTGAGAAATAGCGATCAGATGAACTGGTGAAAAGGATTTATCCCCTTCAGTAGCTGACAGCGTCTTAGGGAAGAAGAATCAGTCTGAGGACTTAGGTAGAATGATAAAGCATCAGCGCAAACCATTCTGACTGGTGGTATCTGTAGGTCAGCAGTAATGAAAAATAAACCTTCAGGTAAAGGTGATATATGGCATCTGAGGCTAAGGCCACAAACAGGCATTGAGAAAGGGCATGTAATGTAACCTTAATATACCAGTTACGTAACTCAAATGGTTGTTTGGGACAAAGGAACCAAAGTGACTTGAGGAAGCCGGAGAGTACTGAAGACTCTAATTTTGTCTCGAGTATCAAATGGTAGTCAATAAGGCCACTTTATACAGGGCGATTGTGGAAAATGCAAAACCCTTCCTAAAGAATCAGGTAAAAAAAAGTTATGGTTGGCACTTCTAATTGAAGTGGTTTCAACCTCCTCTCAATACACCAAATATGTGTGCCATTTCCGTGAATAAATGTCCATCATGGGACTAATCAAAGACTGAGACAGATACATGGCAACCCTAGAAATTAAACCCCAAGACTGTGTGAAGGACTGCATATCTTACATGCCTGAAGCTTCTGAATAGCCAGGTGTACCATGTCAGATCATAGCAGCCTCCACAGAGATGGCCAAAGAGGAAGTGAAAGAGGTTGACGCTCCTGATGGTACTACAGAAGCAGAAACCAGGGTGTAGTTGCCAGTCCGGTGCAATCAACAGGACATAACAATGGGTTGGAACAAATCATAGTTAGTACCTTGGGTAACATAAGAATTGGAGGGAAGTCCTAGAGTTGTATATCCATACTGTCCTGATAGAATGCACCCATTACCAAAGCCCAAAGGCAAGCTACTACAAAACCAAATTGCCAGTATTTGGTGTTCTAATGAGTGACTAACCCATCATCAATGTTTCAAAATGAGAACC